TGGAGGCCATCGCTCTTAGGTTGGAGTCCATCGCTCTTAGGTTGGAGGTCGGATGCCATCGCTCTTAGGTTGGAGGCCATCGCTCTTAGGTTGGAGTCCATCGCTCTTAAGTTGGAGTCCATCGCTCTTAGGTTGGAGGCCATCACTTTCAGGTCGGAGGCTATCGCTTGAATGGATCACATGTAAGAGCCTAAGAGTTGTTTGAAGAGTTGCTTGGTCAATCCTTGAGGGGGGCTCTGTGAGCTGCGTGGAGCCTGCGGAGGTGTGTGCCGGGCTGCGCAAGCTTTCCAGAATGAAGGAACATGAGAGAGAAAAGGGCCATATTGAAGGGACACCAACATCTTTTCCGTTTTTATTTGCTTTCTTTAATTCTGGTCTTTTGTCACCGCAGATATTTTTGACCACTAAAAGGTACGAATGCTGCAAGAAGATTGCTTGCACACATTCAACAGTCTTTGTGCGGCGAGCAAAACCAACGAATGTTCCGGGCTAAAGATGCCAAATGAGCCAGATATTGAGTCTAGTAGGTCGAGGCCATCGCTCTTAGGTTGGAGGCCAAGTGTTCTCAAGCGAACTTCGGGTTGGGACACTGACAGCGAAAGAACTCCAATGCGGCAAAAGAAAGTTCTCCCTAGAAAGCATGCTTGGTGCATGGAACTGGAAAGCAACAACGTTGCTATTCAGGCCATAAGGGCATTGACCTTAACAAGCACCACTTTGTGTTTTTGTTTTCTTCCTTCGCTTAAATCAAATCCATTCTTAACATACAAGGAAGAAGATTGTTTTGCACTGCCTAATCACACCTAGAAAGCTGGTTAGCAGGTGTGCTCAGATCTCAGCCCACGACATGTCCGCGGAGATCCCCGAGGCACATCAGGAGGACTCCGCTGCTGGTCAGCAGCATGGCATATAAAGATTAGTTACCAAAGCGTGCTGAATCTAAAGGTCTGCCGAAAAGGGACAAGAAAGAGGAAAGAACAGAAGAGATTCATCTGTGCCGCTAGTTAAGTTTCCCTAAAAATCTAGGAAGCAAATCATTATATAGTGCGAGCTATCCTGCGTGGAGTAGTTAGTAGCTAGTTAAACTACTAGCTACCTCTCATGAAAGGAGGTGTCAGCACTTCAGCCGCCTCCACGACCGTGACCACCAGCGTGAATGGTGTCTGGCCTACAATAGGTCTGGCTTCGGTAAAATGAAGCCAAAAGAGTTCCGAGAATCGGTTTTCCTACTAGGAGCAAGGACGCTACTAGGGGCTCCTGGCATCGCTACTAGGAGCAAGAAGCTACTAGGAATAAAAGCTTCTAGTTACACATTGCAAGGGACTATGGATCGTGTGTACGTCGAGTTGATACATGTTTTGCTTTGAGGTGCCAGCACTACCAGCACTAGCAGCGTGAGTGGGTCCACCTCCTCAGCACCTGGAGGCTTGCAGCCGTTCCCTAACCTTTTTTCCCTCCTACTAGCGGCCTCCCAAACAATGGCCTCCACCCTATCTGCGATGGCCTCCAACCTACTTTGGACAATCGAGAACAAGGAATACAGAATGCGGCAGAGCGTGGAAACGAGTGCAGATCAGGAATAGCGTGCTACTTTTGAATGGTCTGATATAACCTGGTGACAGGTGCAAGCACGACAACTGGGAATGGTGTCTCGGGTACATCGGCTTCGTCGACCAGCGGCAGTCCTGCTTCCTCCGGTTTCTCAGTTGCAGTACAGTTGCTCCTAGTAGCTAGAATGCTACTAGTAGCGATGCCAGGAGCCACAAGTAGCGTCCTTTGCTCCTAGTAGTTCCCTTTGCCACGGACGATTGGAAGGAGAGAGGTTTGCTTAAGAATGAGGTTTGGTGAAGTCAGTGAGTGATACTGATACTTTGATTCCGATTCCGGGCAAATACTGAAGATCTGACCACTGGTCAGAAAAAGGACAGGACGATGTAACAAAGTTCAATAGGACACAGGGGACAGCTTTGTCGAAGCATTGACAACAGAGTAGTTGTGATACAAGAAAACATTTTTCACTGTTATTTTTCGGAAAAGACTGAACATATTTGGCTCGCCAATTTGGCCAACGTTTTCTTGGAAGGTGGCACCACCACTTCCACTGCGACGGGTGGCGCCAGTGGTGCCGGCAGCACCACGAGCGGACCGGTGCTGCTCGGCAGAGTGGGAGTGAGTTGTAGGGCCAGTGCCAAACAAGAAGACTACTAGGAACAAGTTCATCGCTTCTAGGAACAAGTGCCTTACTAGTAGTAACAAGGACGCTAGTAGTAACAAGTGCCACGCTACTAGGAGCAAGGACGCTACTAGGGGCTCCTGGCCTTACTAGTAGTAACAAGGTTCGCTACTACGAAAAAGACAGATACTTCAAAGACCGTTCCTAGTAGCTTCTTGTTACTACTAGTAAGGCACTTGCAACTAGAAGCGATGCACTTGTTCCTAGTAGCGAACCTTGTTACTGCTCAAGTGAAACGATTCCCGAAACGATTGCCAAGGAAGCTTCTTTTAAAGCGATGAAAGAAGACATGAAGATGCTTTGGGTTCTGTTTGACCAGAAAAGTAAAGAAAAACACATGCGTTCTCTTTGACACATTGCTTTCCCCCTCTCAAGTCCCAAGACCTCGCAAATGGCGTTTTGGCCGGGTAGCTAGAGGCGAGGATTTACTAATAGCTTCTTGCTCCTAGTAGCGTCCTTGTTACTACTAGTAAGGCACTTGTTACTAGAAGCGATGCACTTGTTACTAGTAGCTTCATTTGGCATTTTCTATGTTCCTTTCTTTTCTTTAAGACTCTTTAGACCTTTTCTTCTTCCTCTTCTTGTTTCTTTTGGGCCTTTCAATTTTCGTTGGGAGAAATGTGTGTTGTCGGAATCTCAGCAAGAAAATGCGTCGGCTTTCAGCCGAGGACCACCTCTGTCTCAGCCTCAGACTCGGGGCATGTGAAACTTGGGACCAGAAATCACATGATTCAATGGGTGACTGACATGACTGATGAAATTGACTGAAATCTCTTTGTTTTGAAACTACCCTTTTTAGGACTTGTGCTGTCTTTATCCAATACGCATTCATGCAATGATGACACAAGCACCTTGAACGTGCCTTTTCTCATCCGGTCCATGTTTGTCTTATTCCAATTACTTTGGAGCTAGATTGCAAGAGTATAAATTCTTTAATTCTTGGATGCTGAGGACTTTGCAGAGGTTGGATCAGCAAACCCTGCGGCCAGTCATGCTTGCTCACTGACGTTGGGCTGCGTTGCATTGCTTCTTGGAAGGGTGTGATGGGTGCCCACGGCTGCGGACGTGTCTAAATAACATACATAATCGCCTCCAACCTACAAGAGATGGCCTCCAACCTAATCGACTTACTAGCACCTGAAAACCAGGCCTTCTACTCAAGTAATCATGGAACAACATCCGTAAAGTCAGCCGTCCACAGGGCCGATTGAACTCGCCTGTGAGCGGTTTCCGAGTTTTAACGGTCGGCTCCGCTCGCTCTCTGCTCCCACAGACGTGGGAGAAGACTCCGGAGACTTTGAAGAAGACTCCGGAGGCTCCTTTCGTGGCGAAGTGGCGGCATTTTTTGGGCTCGTGCCATCGTGGCGCCGGATTCGGTGTAGAAAAGGTTTCTTCGTAGCAAGGAGCGGATCTAAGAGCAAGAGGCTCCAGTCCAGGCTGGAGGCCATTGCATTCAGGTTGGAGGCCATTGCTATTTTGCTCTCCTTGTTGGGTTCTTAAAGATAGCACTGGGGCGCCCTATACACAGACAAAGGCTCAACAGTTTCTATGAATTGAAGGTAAATGGTCAATGCGCGGTTGTTTTTGAATCCTCGTTTATGGCGTTAAACAAGCGTTTGCAGTTATCTACTAGGAACAATGTTCGCTACTAGGGGCTCCTGGCCTTACTACTAGGAGCAAGAAGCTGCTAGGGGCTCCTGGCATCGCTGTTAGTAACAAGAAGGCTAGTAGGTTGCAATTAATTGCATTTCGTATCAGACGCGTTGGCGCTGGCGGCTTTCAGCGCCAGGTCAGGTGATTTCTTCGCCAGGCAGGGGGGGATTTGTACGATGTGTGAATGGCAGTGAGGCGAAGGCCGTTTTTAAAATCTTTACAAGCTGAACGAACTGCTAACAAGCCGCTAACAAGCTGCTAATGGATCAGAATGGAACGAACCGAACTCATTTGTTTTGTGAACTCACGCTGTATGGAAAATCAGTCTGAAGACCAACAGGCTCACTCAAAGCGGGCAAGAGGCTGGTGGCTGAGCGTTCAGCTTGATAGAGAAAAGAGGCAGACCTGCGGCCCAAATCTCCCGATCTCAAGCCCTGAGATCGAGCGAATCGAGCCATCTCGGAGAGATCGTTTCAGGTGCTGTCCGGAGGAAACACCGCAGCTCTCAACGAGGTGCCGCCGTGTTCGCAAGCGGTTCAGGTGGTCGTAAGTCGAAGTTGTTGTAGCGTTCGTGTTCGGTGATGGCCAAGACCAACTCCCTTAGCACTTTGATGATGAGGATCATTGTTCACGAGATGCCCGATTGCAGTAGACATTTTTGATCCTGAACGACAAGAAGTTTGGACCAATTTCAAGACCCTTCATGGGGGTATTGGTTTTTGTTTGGTAGGCTCCATCGTGTATCCCACTCAGAGAATGAGGAGGGTTGGGTGATGGGGTGAGAGCCCAAATGAGAGAACCAGGCAGCTCGCTGGCCTTCCTACGTTGGGCCACTTTCAATTCTTTTCCAAGTAACAAGGCACCTTACTACCAGGAGCCCCGTTCGTAGCATCCGATCGCTCCACAGAATGAGTTGTTACAAAAGGGATCCGTTGGAAACTCCAGGTCCTGGAACCCTGATTTGCCCAGGTGCTACGCCAGTTCAATGAGGAGAAGTCCCGCTACCAGGTTGGAATCAAAATCTCCGAATTCCTGAGATAAAACATGGACGGTTTCTGAGCTCCGGCTTCCAACTGGAATGAAAGCAGGGTGTAGCAATGGGCCAATAAATAGCCTTTTGAAGCCAAGGTTGTGGTCTGGCTTTTGGCCTGAGTGTTCTGGGAGTAGCATGTCATGCTTTATTATGAAACATATCCAACATTTCATTAATCACATAACAAAAGTAATGTATATGTATATACCGTATATGTGTTATATGTATACATACATTCCCCCTCCTCTCTCTCTTTCTATGGCTAGATGGAGATGGAGAACATGAAAGTCAACATTCGCACCAACGAGGCTCCAAGAGCAGCTCCGAGAGAGAGAGAGAGAGAGAGAGAAAGGAACGCTTGAGGAGCTTCTTTTTTCGAACAAATCAGACGAATTCTCAAGACTTTGACGAGCTTTCAAGAAAACACCACAAAAACACTTGGGTCGGAGCCCAGTTGAATCTCATTTTTGGAAAGGGGTCTGAACGCGAAGATTTCAAAGCACAGTCCTTCTGTAGCTTCAATCCTGCAGGCTCATCAGTGGTCACTGCAGGTCGCAAGTCACAGCTCATTCCTGGGATTTCTGACATTTCTGACCTAGGAACGGATCAAACGGATCACTTCAAATAAGAGAGATCATCTTGTTGAACATTTACTTTAAAAGCACACACATATATATATATATTGCTCGTAAAAATAAGAACAACAAAGTGTGAACCAACAGTGCGGCTGGTGCTGTTGTGCCCGAAAGGGACGTGTTTCAAACAGAAGAAATACCTTTCAGACTTCGGCGGCAAGCAACGTCATGGAAGAGGGCGAGAGGTCTTTCTCGCTCGAGGAGAACGTCACGAGTCGTTGCACAGAGAAGCGATATGACAAAGAAAAGAGGACATTGAGGAAAGGAAGAACAGACAAAAAGAGCACCATCTGAATGGGCTTGGGAGAAGTCGGAATCAAGACAGCAAAGTCATCAAATCATTTGCAGAATCGCTTAAAGCATAGGAGCAAGAAGCTACTAGGAGCAAAGGGCATCGCTACTAGGAGCAAGGACGCTACTAGGGGCTCCCCTTACTACTAGAGTTCTTTCACCGTCGCAAGTAGGTTGGAGGCCATCGCAGAACCTTGAACGGAACTTCAGGTTTCCACTCGTTGAACAGCGCAGAACAGTCGGAAGGAGCCGCCGTTGCGAATCCAGCTGCGGGAGCATCAAACGGAAGCTGGTTTTCAGCGTCGTGAGCAGTTCCAAGACACTCTGGTCACTTGGTCCACAAAGAACCCGCCGGACATTGGTCGAATGTCCGGAGTCCTGAAGTGTTTATTTCTTGGCAATTTCTTTCTAATAGCAAACATTGTTACTACTAGTAAGGCACTTGTTACTAGTAGCGATGCACTTGTTTCTAGTAGCTTTTTTTTTTTTTTGCAATTTCATTGGGTCAGGTTTATGGCAAAACCTTGGATGCATCCGAGGTACCTGATCACAGACTCCCGCCTCAAGGAAATCTCGGTGCGCCAGACGTCATACCAACGTGTGAGGGTAAAAGCTGAAGGAAAGAGGAAGAAGAAGGAAGAACTACAAGAAGACATCACCCATAAATAAAAAAGAGAAGGAAAAAGAAAGAATCGGCGAGAGCGTCTTAGCTCGTCTTGTTAGGCGATCAGTTGAAGTCGCAGCTGGTGGAGCTGGGGAACTTCGTTGGCTCCTTGCAGCTCCGCGCAGAGAAGCGCTCGAACGGAGAGCGCTCGCCCTTCGACTGCTTGGCAGGCGCGGGCGCGGGGGAACATCGTTGCGAAAGATACGACCTTTCGATGACAGATGTCTTTTTTCTTTTTACACTATTACAGATTTCATTCTTTTTCTTTAGACCGACCGTTTGTTGGCTTTGTTTGTGGTAACCGGTTGACTGTGTCTGGTTCAGTCTCTGCTCCACCAGGAGATGGTGATGACCACGCCGCCGGCAGCTCTCCCGCGGATCGATGCGAGGCCAAGGCGGAGCTGTGGCGGAGCTGTTTGACCACCTTTTTGGAGATGAAATGGTCAAGTTTGGATGACACTGTAACAAGAACGCTACTAGGGGCTCCTGGCCGTACTACTAGGAGCGATCGGACGCTACGTCTCATTTTTCTTTTGGCATGGCCCACCATGGCCTTGGCCTGCCCGACGATAATTGCCTGAGATCAAATGCTAGGAGGGGAGCCCTGCGAGCTATCACAGCCCAGGATCTGGAGGCTCCAATGAAGGGCTTCCTCACTGGAGTCAGTGGTCTGTATGGCTGTTTGGAAATCGAGAGCAAACATTTGGTTGCCTTCATTCTCCCAAACCTAGTAGTAACAAGTGCCACGCTACTAGGAGCAAGAAGCTATTAGTAACAAGTGCCTTACTAGTAGTAACAAGAAGCTACTAGGAACAAGTGCATCGCTTCTAGTAACAAGTGCACGTTCAAAAACCAGAGCCTTCATTCTCCCAAACGAGCAACGTGCGAGGCGGGGACCGAGAGGAGCTGGAGGTGTTGCGCTTGCAGATTGCGGCCCTGGCGCAATCGTTGGCAGGAGACTTTGCGACGACGTGACGACAAAGACACAGGGGCTCCTGGCATCGCTAGGAGCAAGGACACTACTAGGGGCTCCTGGCCTTACTACTAGGAGCAATCGGAGCAATCGGACGCTACGTCTTCTTTTTTCTTTTAACATTCCGCGAAAAGCGTTTGCGCAGGACTTGGCGCCTGTGTGGTGAACTGGTCCGCGTTTTTGACGAATCCTCGGCGGCAGCAGCTGCAGTCCATGGTCTTACGCTACACGGAGCCCTGTGAACACCTCAGCGCGGAGCTTCAGGACATTCCCGCGGTATGAGTACCGGTCTTATGTTCAAGCAGATGCGGAACTGGTCTGGGTATTCTTGGTTTTGGGCGGAGTTTTCGCCTGACTTGCTTGATGTGGCTTGTGCCCGCTAGGAGCTTTGCCGAGATTTGAATTCCATGGACCTGGGCACGCCTAAGGCCAAAGACTCCACTACTCCATAGCTTAACGTAAGAACAAGTGCATCGCTTCTAGTAACAAGTGCCTTACTAGTAGTAACAAGTGCCTTCCTACTAGGAACAAGAAGCTACTAGGGGCTCCTGGCCTTACTACTAGGAGCGATCGGACGCTACTAGGCTGGCCTTACTACTAGGAGCGATCGGACGCTACTAGGGGCTCCTGGCCGTACTATGACCCGAAACAGCAAACGAATCACAGGTTTGTTTGTCCAAAAACGAATCAGGCTGAGCAGGCCGCGCTGACGCCCCTCACCGTGGGAGCGCTGCGGGACATGTTGACGGCCCACCAACCGGAGGACTGACGATTTATGTGGATTAAATAATTAAATATATATATAAATATATATAAATATGTTACTAGTAGCGAGGCACTTGTTTCTAATAGCTTCTTGTTACTACTAGTAAGGCACTTGTTCCTAGTAGCGATGCACTTGTTCCTGGTAGCATTACTAATAGTGTCGGTGAGAGATTGGTGAAGATTGGTGAGGATTCTTTGGAGAGCTAGACAGGCTTAAGGAGATTTAGAGTTCTTTGTGGCCTTCTTGGCCTTTCCATTAAGCTTCCGCCATAGATTTGGAAGCTTCGACATTGAAAGCGGTTTTGGCTCAGGATAGCCGCCGAGCAGAGACGACACTTGCCGGCAGAAGCTTTGGAATGTCCTTCTCAGTTTTGTCATCGATATCCCGTACGAGTTGTCTCTCTCTCTCTCTCTATTAAGTTGGAGGCCGCCACTAGGGTGGAGGCCATCGCTAGTGGGCTCTCTCTCTCTCTCTCGTTCTTCCCTCTGGTGGATTTGTTGAGTGCCACGCCTGCCACGCCACGCGCCAAGGTCGAATGTACATAATCCAGATCCAGACCCTGCGGCGTCGCGCGAGCGGATTGTGTTCTGAAAAAAATGCTGCGGTCCAGCACTTCGCTTTGGAGTGTGTGCGCCAAAGGAAAAGCCATAGCGGCATAGCTTTTTGTTCCTAGTAGAAATGCACCTTGTTACTAGTAGCGTCCTTCTACTAGTAGCGATGCCGTTTGTTACTAGTAGCTTCTTGTTCCTAGTAGTAATGCCAGGAGCTACTAGTAGCTGAGTGGTCGCAGTGAAAGGTCGATTTCGTTTGGAGGCGATGCTTCGACAGATTGCCGAAGCCCTTTTGGGTGGTTCGTTTGAGCAGGCCGGGGCGTCTGGCTTTAGATTTTGTTTCGTTTGGAGTTGTGTTTGGACCCAAAACGTCGGTGCCCTCGGGAATGGACCAGACTGACGACGTTGCGCTGAGCTCCGTTTGTCTAAGGCCATGCAGAAATCACGCTTCTGCCTGAGACGTCGAGCTTGTCGGCCTGAGATGATGTGAGGTCTTTTGTCGGAGCATTCTTCTCTTCATTCCAGATAAGAACCTGCCAACAGTAGTGGTCTTTGTAGGAAAAGCACGTAATTATGAAACAATGAAATAACACATGTCTGAAACTGCCAGCACTTACGGCAGCAAGAACGCGTTCTGAGGCAAAGACCTGGAGAGGCAACAGCAGCAGATGGTGTGTGGCCCAGAAACAGCGAAGACGTCGCTCCGGATCCTTTTGAGATTTGCGCGAGAACGGAGCCGAAAAAGATGTGCAGCATGAAGCTTCTTAGCACGAGACGTTGCTTCCTACAAACATGGAGTGGGTAGTCAGAATAAGCATAGATTCAACGTAGCATAGCCTCCATATTTTATGCTTGATCACCTCATTTCTGGTGTGTAGCTCATGTAGCTTTTCAAACTTTTCAATTGCCTTGCCCTCACCTGCCAGCAGATCTCGGACAATGACGCCGATCCTATGTGCCATGGTACTCGTGGGCGCTTTTGCACAACCACGCTGGTCTCCAGTGCAAAGTCTTGGAAAGAAATCCTGGTCAGCAGTGGGTGTAGCTGGAAATGGTCGGACTATGGTGGCTACTGTGATGAAGGGGAACTTATGGACCTACTACCGGCAAGTGTGGACCGAGAAGACCTTTGATGAGCCCGAAGAATGGAATGATGTCGCCATGCCTGATTCCAATGTCGGCACCGTGGCTGTGAGTCCATAAAGCCTTTGGCACGACCGGGATGCTGGCAGGTGGTCAAAGGACGGTTTGACTCAAGGAGCGAATTGTGCGGCCGTGTCTCCAGATGGTTCCAAGAAAGTTGTTGGTGTTTTTGACGGAAAGCTTTGGATGAGCTCCGATCGTGGCATGAGTTGGGATGCCTTGAGTGCAGGCTCTCAAAATGGAGAGTACTGGGTGTCTGTGGGTATGTCTTCTGATGCCACAAAGATCCTGGCTGCGGTGGGAACCTTTGGGATGTCTATGGGGAAGCTTTGGATGTCCTCGAACAGCGGTGTGAATTGGACGGAGGTCATACCGGGTGTTCCAAATCCCAATTGGAATCGTGTGGCTGTGTCCTCGGATGGTGCCAAGATGGTGGCGGCTGTTTATGCTGGGAGCCTTTGGATGAGCTCCGACGGGGGTTCCACTTGGATGGAAAACAGCAACACCAATGTCTCGAGCAAAGGCGCATTAGCCATGTCCTCGGATGGTGCTCCGATTTTGGTGGCCGTCGAGGGTGGGAACCTGTGGATGAGCAAAGACAGCGGCGCAACTTGGGAGGAAGACTCATCGCTTGGTCCGCAAGAATGGGAGGACGTTGCCATGTCCGCCAATGGTGCCATCATGCTGGCTTCCACTGGTGGTGGATTGTTGTTTCACGCTAGGATGTCGTATACATGTCTCACTTTACTAC